TATAGGTACAGCGAACAAATTTGCTGTGTGGTTAAAAAAAAGTTTGCTGTGACAGTAAATTTTTAAAAATTAAGACTGATATTGTTTTTTACAGCAAGTCTTTTTCGTTGTTATAGCAAAAAATGTAGCTGTGGTTACTAATTTTTTGTAGATTCAATAGCAAACATTAGTTAGCATCTGTAAGGAATTTCTTTTTTTCCGTTCGAGTTTTTAATTTTTACTAGTGGATTTTTGAAACAATTTTTGATAATTTATTTTAAGAAAAGTTTTTTTTTTAATTTGTCAAAATTTCGAATAATTAAAACAGTGAAGACCGAAAACAGAAAACAGATTTTGAACAAATAACTGAATTCCAAAATGTTATACATAAAATTAAAAAAAAAAATTTGTGGACAGAAAGTTTTTGAATTTGAAGTCTCTTCTCTCTCTCTCTCTCTCTCTCTCTCTCTCTCTCCATTTATTCACGTAATTTTATTAAGATCCATTTTGATACGAGAGAACCTATGTGTGTGCGGCTACTAGAGGGAAAATGTAGAGGGAAATTTTTCATAAAGTGGGAAGCAGAGAACGGTCTTCTTTCACGACCCACCCATCCATACTCCTTTTTAGTACTCAACGTGATTCTTCTTTTGCCTCTCGTGTTTCAACTTTAATAAAAAAAAAAAGAAAAGAAAAAAAAGTACACGAAACCATAAAAGCTAGAAGCTGCACTTCATTTTTATATCGACAAGCTGCTAGGATTTTTTTTTTTCTTCTAAAATAGATTTTTCTGTTTCTTTACACCATATAGCGTGATAAGAATTTTGTGAATAAATAATTTTATTAAAAAATTTTTTTTTTATGTTTACAAAATAAAGATGAGAAGAAAGAGAATGGGAAAAACGATAAAAAAAAATTATAAATTGAAATTTTCTTTTTGAGAGTGAGAGACACCTGACTTGGTACAAGATTTACCATCAGGATGAGATCAAGAAATTCTCACTCCTTGAATGTATATCACGAATATAACCAAGAACGTGTCAGAGAATTCGTGCAACAGCTTACCAGCTCAAAATTTGCATTTGAGTGCATATGTCGACTTCTAACGAACTTTACACTAGTTTCAGACACAGTCTTTGTTGTACAACCAAAACTACTCCCTTATCTTTGACACGACACTTGCACAGTACAGGCATTTCCCTTTTGTTTCGTGATTTAAATATTTGTTAAAAATTTTTCATAAAGTTCACAAAATATAAAATTTTTTTTGATTAAAAAAAAAATTACAAATGTTTAGAATGGTATTTAACGTTTTTAGGGTGAATCCCACCGCTGTCACCATTGACAAATTTTTTTTTAACTAGTTTTCTTTTTTTACCAGATAATTTATTTCCTATTTATTATTTTTTCCTCTCTTATGTGTCTCAGTGTTTAGTAATGATAATCTAATGTCAATTTATGACTACTATTTTTCCAATAACATGGTTCAGATTTAGCTATATATGACGATATCGACATTTCAACATTGTCGTCGCGAATTCTTTGATATTCACAAATGAAATATGTAGATCGACGAGAACACAACCTTTTCACACGATTGTAACGTGGTGACACGTAACGAAAAGTTTCTCTCTCTTTTTTTTTTTGTCCTCCCTTGAGAACGTGCGTAAAATTTTTTTCGTATTTTTTCTAAATCTTTTTCACAAGTCGCCACATAGTGTTACTCATTTATCACTATGTACCATATGTCACTGGCGCTATTAAAATAAAATAAAAAAAAAAAACAGAAAATTCCCATAAAATATTCCTAAACTATTCATTGTAAAAAGAATCCGTTTTTGGATTTAACGTAATTCAAAATCTGATTTTAATTGTACGATTACAAAAGCTTTAATTAAAGTAATTTAAAATTCTTTTTTTGAAATTTTTGAAATATCATGTATATATACGCCTGGAGGTGAAAAAAAAATTGTTGGCATATTTTTATTATTATAGAGAGAAAATTTCTAGTATAACAAAATCAATTAGCGGATATCCAATATTTATTGTTGAATTTTTCCTCTAATGCTCCATAACAGCCTCTGTATAATAAACACCACTCACTCTCTTCCACCGCCTTCAGGATTGTAAATTCCAAGTTAATTAACCAGTTTCGCATAAAGGCAATTAATTACTCTCTCTCACTCTCTCTCTCTCTCTCTCTATCTCTCATCCTCTCAAAGCAGGCAGGCCGCTTGATTTCACCTTGATGACTTTGTAATAACTACGCGATAGTGTCTTATCGATACATCGAAGTATGCGCTTACTATACATATATACATTTAAATCTGAAGAGGGAAAGTCGATAAATAGTGATATTGTGTATAATGGAAAAATGTTACTGATACAACATCAAAGTTTTGTAATCTTGATAAACGCATGCCTTTGATGATTTGAATGTGCCTTTACATTGTGAACACTCATTTTTGTTTTTTCATTCACTTTTTGAAAATATGTTTTCAAAAATTTAATGAACTGTGTGTTTGGAAAAAGGGGAATGATGAAAATAAAAGCTGATTGTAATTAACGTTAGTGATTAATTTTGAATTCCAAAAGGAATTGGAGTGTTTTGATTTTCGTGCCTTTGTAGCAGAAAGATAGGATGCTTCTACGCTAAAACGTTTGTTTCGAAAAGGCATCGAAAAGTTAATTTTTGTAGCAACGCGTAAAATCTGCTGCAGTGAATTAGGTGATTTTCTGATAGTGTCTTTAGGGTTACTAATTAGTTTAGCTTAGTACCTTACGGCAAGTACCAACCTAATTCTTATGTCCCTTTTTTGGTAAACCTTGTCTTTACTAACCAAGAATTAGAACCTCTGGATTCGTTTCCTTCAGGATTAATGTTAGTACCTCCTATCCAGAAGTCTCCGATTCTTATGTCCGTTTTTTGATGAATCTTGCCTCTGCTAACCAAGTGTATCTTATCTCTGGGTATCAGTATATTTGCTACCTTTAGGATTACTGCTAGTGTCTGCTGCCCAAAAGTCTCCGATTCTTATGTCCATTTTTTGGTGAACTTTGCCTCTACTAATCTTCGCTTCCTTCAGAATTACTGATAGTACCTCCTGCCCAAAAGTCTTCGATTCTTATAATGCCTCTTTTTTGCTGGACCTTGCCTTTACCAACCCAGAATTAGAACCTCTGGATTCGTTTCCTTCAGGATTAATGTTAGTACCTCCTGTCCAGAAGTCTCCCATTCTTATGTCCGTTTTTTGATGAACCTTGCCTCTGCTAACCAAGTGTATCTTATCTCTTGGTATCAGTATATCTTATATTGGCAACCTTTAGGATTACTGCTAGTGTCTGCTGCCCAGAAGTCTCCGATTCTTATGTCCCTTTTTTGGTGAACCTTGCCTCCACTAACCTAGAGTGCCTTACCTTCCCTTCCTTCAGGATTACTGCTAGTACCTACAGCCTAAAAGTCTCCGATTCTTATGTCCACTTTTTGGTGGACCTTGCCTGTACTAACGTAGAGTTAACTACCGTCTTAAATCTGGATTCGCTTCCTTCAGGATTACTGCTGTACTTCTTCTTCTGCTTCATGGGTAAGGCAATCCAAGTGGCGCCCCTTCATGACCTTAAGACTCATATTCGTTTCGGTCCTTTCTCTTTTATTACGGTTCATTCATGGACTTAGGACTCCTATTCTTTTCGGTGCTAGCTCCTTCTTCTTTTTCGGTTCCTTTCTTATTCTCAGGACTCCTATTGTTTTCGGTGATTTGTCCTTCTTCTTTTTCGGCTCCTTCGTGGTCTAAGGGCTCCTATTCTTTTCGGTGCTTGCTCCTTCTTCTTTTTTGGTTCTTTCGTAGTTTCAGGTCTCCTATTCTTTTAGGTGCTGGTTCCTTCGTGATTCCTACACTCCTATTCTTTGTCCACTTTTTTGGAACTCTAAAAACGACAATCCGAACCAATTTTGCCTAATTCTACAATCCTAATCTAATTCCCAAATTACTGGTAGAATTTTTCGTCTTCCTTCTTCGCTGTTTCATATTTTATCCCGCCATCATCCATATGATGAAAATTACTCCTCACTGTATAAATTTCAATAAGAAATTTTCCTGTACAATTTTTCCAGTTTTATTGAATTATAGTTCAAACACTATAAACATTTCTATAAGTAACAGGATATTATCTATTATTTGTAAAAAACAGAATTTTTTTTTTTAATACTTCCGGCTTTTCAATGTCTGCTCTTGTTAGATGTAAAAAACGTTATCTATTTAATAATTGGTTCTGGATTCAAAATTCAGACTAGGTATATATCTCGTAAGTTGAATGTAAAATTGAAGTGGAAAGTCCTGGTACATTTTTTTTTTGGGGGAAGGAAGAAAAAAAGTGAGGTTTTTCTTCGCGACTACAAAGTCTCGGTAGGTTACTGTCGCTTCGAATTTCTCTTCGAATACGTAATGGTTCTTTCGCGAGCGAGAAAAATGCATCGAACCAGCCAGTTGCATAATAATCGTACCAAAAGTTTCTGCTCTTTTGCCTCTCATACATCCCTCAGGACTTTACCTTCTCTCTCTTCCCCCCCCTCTCTCTCTCTCTCTCTCTCTCTCTCTCTAGCTTCGAATTCTCTCGATTTTATCGCATGGGAAAAGCGTCTTAATTTTATTACTTGAAAAAGATATTGAAAGTTTTTCACTGGAAAAAAAGTACTCTAATGAATTTTAATTCCAAGTTCTATCTCGTTTATTTAAATTAATGGTCATAGAGGGTTAATTTTTTTTTTCTATTAAACAAAAATCAAATATTACATAATACAATATCATACATTTTATTTAACATCCTTTTTTTCTATTAAAAATTAACCGTATCCAACATTGTCAAAATTATCTTATTTTTTCACGAAATGCAAATAATTGTAATTTTAACTTTTTTTTCGAAAGTACTGTAATGTTGAAACATTCCATTGAGTTTGAAAATGTTTTTTTTTTTTTTGTGAATTTCAAGAGACTAATTGTCGGGTTTTTTTTCTGTTTCAGATTTCGTCTATCACGAGATTTTGCAGGGTGAGTGAACTTTTTGAGTATTAATCTTATTTAAAAAAAAAAAAGAAAAAAAAATATGAAAGTTACTAAAAACCTCGAGAAAAAGTTTTTAAAAGACGCTTTTTACGAGGTAATAAAATAGGGAGAGGAGTAAAATTTAACTTTCGACCTGTCATGGAAAATTTAAATGTTAAGGACTTCCTATTGCGTATAAAGTACATTTTATAGTGATAGTTTAATAGTTATAAATATTCTCAGAATTTTCAGACCTTACAAAAAGCACTGCAAATTTTAATGGAAATGCATTTAGTTAACAAATTTTATAGTAATAATAATAATAAAAGTAATAATAATTTACAGTTTTATAAATTGCAAGTTACAGATTGCAAAGGAATAGTTAAAATTTTCCAAAAAAAAACATGTTTAAATTTTTTTATAGTTAAAAGTTTGAATATCAGAAAATTTTGAGTAGAGATTAAAGTTAAGATGATTAAAATGTTAACTAATGTCAAACTTTAAGTGTGGTAAAAACTTTCACCAATATTAAATCGTTGGATAGTTAAAATTTCGATTTTTTTTTAGAAAGGTTTTTTTAAGGTTTTTTTAAACCTTTAGATAGTCAAATTTAAAATTTTAAATCTAAAATATAGTAAAATTTTGTAAAATTATTTAATATTTTAAAATGTTATAATTTTAAATGTCTACTTTTGAATACATTAATATTTCAATATTTAAAACTTAAAGTAGTTTAAACTTTGAATAGTTGTTAGAAATTTAATTATAAATTAAATTAACAAATATACTTTGAATAATAAAAATTTTAATTACAAAAAACAAAAATTTAAATAGTTTCAATTGTGAATACTTAAAAATTTATTCAAAACTTAAAAATTTTCAATAATCAAAACTTAATATAGTTTTAAACTAAATTGTTAATATTTTTAACAGTTACAAAATTTTTAAATAATATATTTTTAATTTAAGGAAAGTTGAAATTTTCTTTTACGTTAATCAATAGAGTTAAAAATAGTTCAAACTTTAAATAATTTTACATTTAAATAAATAAAAAATTTTATTTTTGTGAAACTTTAAATTCTTCAAATTTTTAAATAGAAATAATTAAAGCTTTAAATAGTTAAAAATTTAAGTAATTAAAATTAAAACTTTAAGTAATTAAAATTTTAAGTAGTTAAAACTTTAAGTAGGTAAAATTTTAAGTAGTTAAAACTTTAAGTAACTAATTGTAAATAGTAAAAAAATTTAAGTAGTTAAAACTAAGTAGATAAAATTTTAAGTAGCAAAAATTTTAAATAGTTATAAATCTAAATAGTTAAAACTTTAAATAGTTAAAACTAAGTAGTTAAAATTTTAAGTAGCTAAAATTTTTACTAGTTAAAATTTTAATTAGTTAAAATTTTAAGTAGTTATACCTCTAAAAATTTTAAACTAAGTAGTTAAAATTTTAAATAGTTATAACTTTAAATAGTTAAAATTTTAAGTAGTTTAAATTTTAAGTAGTTACAACTTTAAATATTTAAAAAAAAATTTATTTTTGTTTTGTAATATTATATTTAAATTTTTAATAAAAAATTTGATTATCTAAAAATGGAAGACAAATTTGACAGTTATCTAGACAAATTTTTTTAAAAGAATCATTTTTAAATGATAAAAGACAGATTTAAAGATATAGAGAGTAGAAAATTGTGAGAAAAATATTTACGATGTGTCATATATATATACATATATATATGTGTGTGTATAGTATGAGGTCGAAAGTTGTCGGTGGAAATAGTTAGTTGGCAAAGGGACACGTAAATACATCTCTTGAAACTCTCGACTGCTTCCTTTTTCATCCATATTAGCATATCCTGTGCTCAGTTAGGGACTTCCTTCATGGCCCAGTTTTGCCCGAGGCCATTTAGGTAAAACAGAACGCATTAGAGAAAAACTTTTATAAACATATATATATCTTATAATATATCATAATATCATATATTTTGTTTGTACATTATATAAATTTCCCTCTCTAAATATCAGAAATGCGTGACAAATGAAAATTTACATATTTGTTAAAAAAAAAAAAAGAAAGAAAAATTATATACCACATCTTATTTGAAGAACATTATTCTATTTAGATTATAGTTTAAAAAACTATAATAAACTACTATATATATATATATATACGATAGAAAGAGAGAAATTCGGAACTAGTAATTTTTCATTTAAAAAAAGAAATAGTCGATTTTGTCCAGTGTGACATTCAGTGATTTCGAATTGCGGTAAAAAAAGAGATTTTATAGTACGACGTAATTGAAGCAACGTGAAATTACCCTTATCCCGCAGAAACTAGTAAAGTAAGTTAAACACTAAATTCGCTCTAGCTTGCGGTAATAAAGTCGAGGTCATGCATATAGTCCAAAATTCAAAGAGAGATATCATGGCAAAATCTCTGAATCAGAATTTGAAATAATTTAGTATACTTTTTGAAAATAATTAATTTTTTTAATTTATTTTAATAAATAATATTTTTCTTTTTTTTAAATCACATTCTTTTTGTTTAAGTTTATCGTGAAATATAAATCATATTATTGTAATTTTTGTATCATTCAATTCCATTAAGTCTAAGAAAAGTGCCACAATTGTTTATTTCGAATTTGAATTAAAAAAATTATGTAGAAATTGACATTACCGACAGTTTTAAAATAGTATTATTTTTTTTTGTTCTTTTGTTATATAATATAAATTGTATTTTAAAATTTTTTTTATCTCATTCACTTTCTTTGAGTGTTAGAAAAGTGCCACGGCTATTTATTTTGAATTCGGATTAAAAAAAAATTAGGTAGAAATCGACATTACCGACATTTTCAAAATAGTTTTTTTTAAATTTGACTTAGGTCAGCGTCCGCTGGACCAATCAAAAAGTGCGTCATACATTTTTTGTTCAAGACTTTTTGCTTATTTTATTGGTAATATTCCCGATCGATTATCTTACAAATTTAATTTTTCGAAAATTTTTCCAAAATGTTTTTGAGAGTAGCTCAGCATCCGTTGGAACAATTCAAAAGTGCGCCATACATTTTTTGTTCAGAACTTTCTTCTAATTAATTTGGCGGTATCCCCGAGCGATTATCATGCAAATTTATTTTTTCGAAAATTACCGACAGTTTAAAAATAGTAGTAATTTTTTTTTATTCTTTTCTTATATAATATAAATTGTATTTTCAAAATTTTTTTTATCTCTTATTCACTTTCTTTGAGTGTGAGAAAAGTGCCACGGCTATTTATTTCGAATTTGAATTAAAAAAAAAAAAAATTAGGTAGAAATCGACATTACCGACATTTTCAAAATAGTAGTTTTTTTTTTATTTTTCTCTATATTAAGAAAAATAATAATTAAATTTAAAATAATAATAAGCAATTATAAAAATAATTAAAGAAAAATTATTGTATTATAAATTTTGAAAAATATTGCAATTACTGTAAATTTTAGAGCAGGTATGTTTACATTCAGGGTACAATATAAAAGAGGGCGGTCATCCAAGTCGAGAGATGAATTGATTAGTTGCTATTCGAGCGTTTGTCCTGTTAAGACTTGTTTCTTAGAAAATTGTGCGTGTTAAAGTGAGTTTATAATAATATTGTTTATAATCTTAATATATATTATTATAATTATAATATTATTTATAATATTAATATTAATAATATTGTCAATAATGTTATTATAGTAATATTATAAAAATTATTATATTAAAATTATAATATTATTATATTATTATTATATTTTATTTTATAATATTATATTATAAATAATTTTATTTTTTCTTATTGTTCTAAAATATTTTTTTTTGCTTTGAAAACTTGTTAATTTCTCATAATTTATTTTTCCGAGAGTGTTTTAAATATTATTAAACCGCGATCGAAATTTTTATCTTTTCTTAATGTAAAAAAAAAAAAAATGGATTTCAAAATTTATTTTCGTTTCTTCAATCGCGAGGGTTTTTTATTCTGAAGAAACCCATTCCAAGTGCCTCCAGCTGGAAAATCTGGAACAGAACAAAAAATTTAAGGTCTGTTAAAATTTTTTTTTTTTTAAACACGTTACAATTTGCATTTTTTTTTTTTTTATTTTGTTTTAAATTCTACAAAATTTCATAAGTGTTTACAATTAACATAACCTTAAAAAATTTCTTACTATTTATTTTTTGTTTATATTTTTTTGTATTAATGGAAATGAATTAAATCATTTTTAAAAAATTGTATATTCTATTTTGTCATTATTATCGACAGAATTTAATATTGTTTTTATTTTCATATTTAAATATAAATTTCTCATGATTAATTGAAATGAAAAATAATTAATCAAAATTATATTATCATTATGGTAAAATAATAGTAGTGAAATGTGTCTCTTTAGGTAAAGGGGTGGGTGGGAGGGAGGGAGGGGATTATTTGAAACGCAAGTGGTTAGGTAAAGGGGTATAAAAGGGGGAAAATTAATGTAACAGGTAAGCTGCAGCACATTGCAGTCAGTATAAATTTACACTCTCCGCAGACTCATATGTTCCTGGGCAGGGTGCTAATTCGCATTCAGGAATTCGCCTTCCCAGTAACCGTTTCTCTCTCTCTCTCTTTCTCTGCAGTATCGCTTCCCCTAACGTCCCCCCTCCCCAACCTTTAGATGAATAAGTTAAAACTACACCATCAAAACTAGGACCATAATATTTTCCGCAACCCAGTTTCCAATTCAACATTGCCGCCATTTTTGTCATCCCAACATTTTTTTCTTTCAATAACCACTATCTTTCCGCTATGTACAATAATATTCAAATTCTTTTTTTTAAGTTATAATTTTTTTTTTTTGTTTCTTTAAACAAAAGTTCTAAAACTTTGGGTTTAAGTTTCTCATATAATATAAATCGTGTTTTTGAAATTTTTAAATCATTCAATTTATTTCAATCCAAGAAACGTGTCACGGCAATTTATTTTGAAATTAAATTTAAAAAATTAGGTAGAAATTGACA